AAATATCGATAAAACTCACCATACCAAAAAACCGAACGACATATTTCTCTGATAGCTTTTTGTACTTTGTTTACGTTTCCGGTTTGTTCACTAACAATTTTCTATCTGTCATGTTTTCATTTTACGGAGGTTTTATCGTTGTTTTGTACGGAATTAAAATTGTTGCGGTTTTCCGCGGTCCCGCATGGAAATCACGCCACGGACGTTGGGTGTTGTATTTTCATGGAGTACTCGGAAAACATAAATATGGCCGCGCTCGTACTCTGACAATTGGAATCCTCTATGATTAATGACCCATCTATTGCAAGAATTCCCAAGACGGCAGTTCTGTAGGCAAAGTCAAAATGTTCCCCTAGGATCGAAGGAAAGGCTAACTAACTATGAATGTGTTAGTGGTAATAGATTCCCAACTGGAATTTGAAGTTTATGCGATATGACATTAAATCACCTCATGTTTGGATAGAGCACCAGTGATTGACAGACAATTTCTTGATGACCGCAAAAAGGTCTTATTATCACTTCACATTGTGTTTAGAATAGAGCAACTGTGTTCGCTCTCGTTAATCATTTAATGACCCTTATACAAGTTGTTATTGTTTATTTGAATCATATAACACATACGTAAGTTAATTCATATGTTAAATTTTGTTATTATAAGCATGCAAAATTTATACAATTATGCAGAATGTATCATTTTCTTTATTGATAATATATGGCTGATTTTCATAATTATTCAACTTCAGGATTGTACAAAAAGACAAACAAATCTAGAGCAAAGACGCGCAGTAAATGGTCCTGCATAGAAATAATCATAAATATTTTATTAGAAAATCTGGAAACGTATGAAAAAATATTACTTTTGATGTGGATATGTTATTTCGAAAGCACATCAAAAATTCGCTTTACAGGAATATCGAAACGGTGGAGACATAGCTTACCGCAAATACACGTTCAAGTGAAAAGAGCATCTCACTGTCTTTTGTATGGGGAAATTGAGACGTTCTGAAGTGATATTGTTGTGACTGTTCAACTTGTTTAGACTGAGAGGAGGCTAACAATGGAGGTTTAAGGGGGGATTTTATATCTAGTGTCACTCTCCTCCTCACTTATTCCCGTACAGACGTTGGGAAAGGGGATTTAAGGGTCGTTAAACAGTGCCTAAATTGATTTTACGTCTTGTGTTATTTCAAAGTATGACGGGTGTTTCTGGTGAAACGACATGTTGCATACAGAGAGAGGAAATACGAACTATAATCGAAAGGTTATCACAACCATTTCAAACGAATAAATGGATTTGATTTGGTTATGATTTCCTAAAGTTATTGATAAGTAGCAGCTTGTGTAAAAATATACACTTTGACTGTTATTGAACAAAACCGAGTTTTGCATTTCAAACACCCGGAAACATTGTTTATATATTGATTTTATTGTATGTAAATAAGTTAAGTTTATTAAGTTATCAGATGGCGTATTCTAATAATAATTACAGTGAATTGGTAACGTCCCAGTAATCGGTGACGATGTTAATTCATTGTGAACACAATGGTTGTCTGTAATGACGTAATATCAATATTGCATTTATATTTTATTTACAGAACAATATGCATGTTTGAGATTGTGGACAGTCAACGCTAAGTCAACAAGCATTGGAGTCCGTTATACCTCAAGTATGTTTATTTTTCTAATTTACAAAAGGTCCTCGATTCACAAGAGTAATAGCAAGGTAAATTTTTAAATAGACCTAATAAGGTTTGCAGGCTGTTTAACAGGATTAGAAGCATAGGTCTGTAATGGGGCGCGCTAGGACAAACACGTCCACTCGTCTGTGTGTCAACACCGACCCCCTGTTTCTGTGAGGCGGGGTTGGATTGATGTGGACGGAGCACGTGTGTTTCGGGTACCGGCTATTCCGGTCCCAAACACACTCGGGTCGACCCGAACATCTTAGTACAGTTGACAAAAAAGATTGACTGTCTCTTGTCGCTAACGAATGTCTCCTGGTTGAAGTAGGGAAGTAAATATACTTTCCTCTGTCATAGTTAATGTTTTATCTGTTCACCTAATGGGATAGACAGTACCCAGACTTGTGCACTCCACACACATACATTGCCAAATGTTTGAACAAATATTATTATAAGGGTGAAAGCATGGACGGTCGCCCGGTTACTGTTCCATATCTGTCGCGATGGTTGTACACAGTCTGTCAAACAGTTGGACAAAGTCTGGGATTTTTAAACGTGTGATTACATCTCATCATAAAAGAAAAAAAAGGAAATCATACTATGTTGGTATCAAACACAACAAACTATGGCAAAAACGAAGATGTCTGTCAGACAAAATAAACAAACGTGTTCAACGATACACGGAAGACCAATCTATTAATAACGAGTACGGTTTCAATCTAATGTCAATCATCGTGCTATCACATTTAAAATTCGAACTTGTTGAAATATCATGTTATGAACTACCTATTTTTAAGAAGTCTTTCTGTGTTGTGAGTAAATACAGAGATGATACATCATGTGATATATTTATTGTATACTTTTCAAAAAGCATAACCCACTCCTTTGACTTCTCGGAAAGGACATATAAATTGTTAAATTCGGAGTCAAATTTCATAACGGATTTAGTTATGAGATAATGTTGAAAACTCACAAATTGATCGCCCTTCTACTCGGTAGTATTTTAGATACATACATGTTCAAAGAGTACATGCCAGCAATCACCAGTTACAACAAACACAGGGCAAAGAAGATCTGATCAATAGTGAGTTTTAAATTGTCACGAACCGTTTATAAAATATTGAAATCCTGGATATCTTCATACTTCAAATAGTTTTGACTAAGCAGGTATGTAAATACTGTATCATTATCAAACATTGTTATGTAATAATGAAAGCTCTTGAAATGCGAAATATGAAAACTCTGGTAAAATCCTGATTTCTTAAGGTTTTTTCCAGATAATGACTGTAAAGTCTGTGGTTTAAAAATCATATTTTCAAAAAGGAAATTCACTTATGATTTAGTGTATGTTTACATGCGATTTGTATATAAAATATAAACTTATTGAAATTCTTGTGCAGTTTTCCATCATGCGATATTCTAGAGTTAGCATAATTCTAGAGATTAACGTTGTTGAGTGAGAGGTAAACAAATGATAGTGGTATTAAGATTTCTATGATATCAAAATAAATCCTTACAAAAAGTAATTATGTATTTTAGTGAAACTGTCAAACCTAGTTATTCTGTAGGGTAAGTATTATCGACATAAATGACACGATAGCTGTCCACGTTTCGTTTATTTTCCTCTACATAATGAATGTTTACATCTAGAGATAAGTTGTGGGCTTTATTTTGTTTGACATAAACTGTGAAAACTTGAAATGTTATATCTGAGAATAATTCATAAAATGCCATATAACTCGTTTACGCTAAGTAAAGTGACTTTAAACTAACATTCCAATATGTAATAGACATTTTAACACTCACAACAAATTATATTTTCGCCCTTTTAGATAATACGATGAAATGCTGTAGATGTATACCTAACACATAGCTATACAAAAATAGCGACATGTGTTTTCTAGATGAATATGAAACTCTATTTAAAAAATGATCTTATTTGAGATTAAATTGAGTTTTTTAAGGCCCACGGGCAGAAACTGTCTCGTTCCTTAGACAGATATGTTCAGATACCTGAGAAGTTTAAGTTTCTCGATCTTTTGAAACACGCCGACCATATTGTGGCCTTCTGTCAACAAAGCGCAAATCGCTGTCCGGCATCTTAAACCCGTCAAATTATACAGACCGTACCACGTGCTGAAGTGTCCCATTCAATGTAATAGAAAATCCCAACAGCAGTTAATTTAAAGACGTTTCAATCAATTTTTAGCAATTATTACAAGCATATACCGTTAGATTGCCTATTTCAGCACTTGGTTTCACACGCATCAACTGAATAAAAAGTAGGTGGATTAAAGCTAATTAGAATCCCGGTTTATTATCGTTGTTGACAATCAAAACACGAATTTCCCTAGTCCATTGTGGACGTAGCGGTGAGCATTGCACGGCCGTGATTGTGGGTATATTGACACAATTATGAAAGGGAATTATCAGAGATCAGCATCATAACAATAAGTGATTATGATTTTTTATAACCTATGCTTTGTAAAGGAAATATCCAATACTGATACATAAATTACTTCCCTGATTGTCAATTTACGCAAACAGTGTTTAATAAAATCTAAAAAAAAATCTCTTCACATGGAGGAATGCACGCAAAGCTATTACTATCATTATTGACAATTTCATCCTTTTAAATTTGTTGTCACCAATATAGACTGTGATGAATTTGTATGATGTCATATATCTATTATACATATCATACTGATTTAAGGTGTTTAGATATAAATTACGGGTAATGTTATTACTTTAAAATAGAATCTTTATTGAGGAAATGTTTTGTTTATTTTTTTACTCGAATCTAAACGGTTTTTTATAATAATGACAATACTTGTTCAAGCATACTAATCAGTTGCTTTACAAACATTAGTTTAAATGTATTTATTGAGCGAAGGTTTAGAAATAACAATATGCTGATGAGGTTTTGTAACGTGTAATGGTTACTTAGTTAACTCTTGGTGTTTTTCCTTACTGACAAACTCTATATTTTTAACAGAATATTTTATAAACGAACAAATTTACTCGAAATTTCTGAAAACATTATCCGTAATATATTTAAATGTATGTTGAAGTCACAGGACAAATAACATACTGAGATGTATATCCTAAACAATGACTTATTCAAATCTCCGAGTGAAGTATATATAGGGCTGATTATGTACACAAAAGCGATACTCTAAAAACACGTGTGTTGTGTTATCCTCTGACAAACACATGGGATACACAACACGATTGGTATTACAGTTTGACAAACTATGTGTTAGAGAAGGAAATAGCGATATTTACACAGGAATAAAGAATAAACATTTCAATATTTACCTGTTTTTCCGGGATTCCGTTTAATCTGCATCCATCTGAATGGTTTATTGGTTAGGCTCTGAGCGGCTGTCGGCTCCGTCTTAATGTGTCCGGAGTTTGGCTGTGACATTGTGGCCCCGTACATATTCGACAAGGAACAGGACCCTAAAGTATCAACACATGACCCAACGTAACTTGTCCGCCCGGGAGAGAGGCTGAGGCCCCCACCCCCTCCTAAATGAGCATCACCGTTCAATGTCAACCCATGATGTCCAGCCATGTAGGGATCCACATTCCCCGGATGGGGCTGAGGTTCGGGAAGTTCGTACCCATGTCTCGGTCCCCGGGGTATCACCGGTGTATTGACGGGGTAGGACAAACCCTGGCTTGTCCCGAGAGACAGGTCAACCCCCGAGATCCCCGGTGGAACGAGGTTTTCCGCTCCGTAGTAATGCTGTCCTGTGTCAATTGACCTGTTATTGATAGTATTATAGCCATATAGTGTGCCAGGTATTTCAGAATTTGTATATCCATTCCCATACGAATGTGAGTCGAGATTGCATATAGTATAGTCGTTATCGGAATTCATAATTCAACAACTGTGTTGCTTTGTCAATGGGGAACACAAATTAGCTGTCGATCGGCAGATAAATCTAAAATAAATGAACCTAAATTACGACTGGAGAATGACAAGATTAGAAAGGCCATGAATAATCACGTGACTACATTCATCCAATCAGGACCAATTTATGTGAGATCAAGAGAAGTCGTCGTGTTGATGGATGGGACAGCGATGCTTCAGGGTTTACTCAAGCGAGACCGAGGCTCCATGGCTGGAGGGTCGAAGCGGCGGTGTGTGCACACTACCTGTATGATGTGACGTAATGGTATATATACTGTTTATATTATATACTAACACGTGTCCGGACTTTCGTGTGTTCCTATGGCAATACGTGGAAATTACTGACAACTAAACTGAATACAAAAGATTACTTCAAAGGTATTTATACTCTTGTGTTATGATTTACAACTGATGTAGGGGGAATGAAGGTAAATACTGACTTTTCGAGGAGACGGAGAGAAGGCCTACACAATATACAATATCTTGTTTTATGCTAGTGGTTTATTTTAGTTTTCACAGTAGGTAATGAAGTCAAGCCAGGCCCAACCAACATAATACAGAAATGTGAATATGTTTTCCATATTTTCAAAACAGCAGGGAAGGATTTCTGCAAAAAATTGATAATGTGAAACATTAGCTAGCGTAAATCAGTGTTACAGCGTGACAGCCAGCTAGATGCTGTGCTGTGGTAACACTAGTAATAGACTGTAAGCGGGACCGGAGCGGCCCGTTCACAACTCAGACTCTCTTGTATTTACGACCAAATTTATTACCTTTTCATGGAGGCAATGAAAACCTTGAGAAACGTTGCTGTACATATATCTTTAAACTTTTTTATTGTTAGACAAGAAAAATCATATGGAATGTCAATTTCCTCTAAAGCTCACAAAACCAGTTATTTCTCTACATGAATAGTCACGTTTTACTTTAATGTCAGGATTTTGAAGTAAAATATTTTTTCTTTTTTATTTCTTTCATAGTTATATCATTTATATTACCTGCTTTGAATAAAACCTTCACCCCTTGAGATTTGTGAGATTTGAAATATTTCATATTTAACGCAAGTTAAAAAGCATTAACTCAAGTACTCTTTATTTATGGATATTTTCAAACTTGATTGAATTAATTTCATTTTTTCAACTGTCAAGAGTTTATTAATGTTAAACTGAATTTAATGTTCTATGTGATAAACACAGAATAGATTTATCAAATATCTCTCATGCACGTGAATTTCATTATTGGAACATAAGATTACTGTCAGGATTATCCTCCTAATAGAAATGATGTGTAATGAGCTTTACTTATGTCACATGTACAAATTCGTGCAGATAAAAATAGAACAATTTGAATTTACAATATTTGAGTGATTATACTAGCAATTTTGTATTAGTTCATTTTAGGGTGCTCTTTTTACTTAGGAAAATTCCCATTTCCTGTTAACTGGATTGATTTTTTTGAAAATGAAATTGATCCCATCATTTTTTTTATTGATGTCGATTAATGTATTTGAAACTATCCCTTGGCATAGAATTGAAACACTGTATACCTTGATGTCAACATTCATTATTTGATGTTATACTGATTGAAATAAACATTTTATGTATCTGAATGTCACCTGTTCTCTTTTCTTTTCGCAGACAGTATTTCAAAACACATAATAGAAATTAATGTTATTGCACGCGAAGTATTTACATAAAAATGAAACATTATACATGAACTTGTGAGAAATCAAATTACATTAAATACAATTATGAATAACATATACAAACCTGATAGTTTAGTAAGAAAAAGTGACGTTTAGAATTACTGTTTTCCCTGTTAACGCATGTAAATGTCATGTTTTGGTAATTAGATCAGCTATTTCTGTAGAATATTTCTTTAAACATATGTAATGATATTAAATAAAGTTTTCAACAACTTTATACACTACAGACATAAAGCTTGGCCGATCTACAATAGTCCATAGAAAGCTACTGCGATAACCTGTTAAAATCAACACTGAAAACATTTCGAAGAATGGAATATGGTATTCAGTTTAATTTGAGCGGAATTCTTTCTGTTAAACAAGTTAAATAGAGGTCTTCAAGTGATTGAATTTGAAGTCAAAGGAATATTTATTACAATTTAAAGAATATCAGATATGTAAACATCTTTATTCCAGACGGACGTTCGATGTTTAAATCATTATAAAGGTGACACTTTTTTATTCATACAAAACATATCAATAAATATGTCGATAGTTATTTCCTGTCATTGCACACGACTGTGCAATCCCCCTTGAGCGAATTCCATATACTTAAACAGTACTGTCTTGAATTCGAAATAGGTATATAGCTTGCAGCACACCATAAACAATATTATCCAAGGTAGATGTGACATAGATATAGGTAGACAAATGGGGGATAATATTCTGATATTCTACGTGTGAATAGTCCTATCATGGTCCTAAATTATTTAGAAAAGATCAATGTAATGATAGCTATATTCTTTGCATTAACTACATACTTTGGTTCATTTCTTCTGGCTATAAAAAAAATCAATTATTTCAATCATTAGCGTTTGATTTGAAATTGATTGTTTTCGTAACATTGATAAATTCCATGAAAAATCATTTTCAATTCAAAATTTATTTTGTAAAAAAGGAATACTTATATTGAAAAATTGTTTTAATATGCTATAATATTTTTTAACTACTTACATTAATAGGTATGATGCATACCGAGACCAGAAAAAGAACAAACATGCTGCTAGTGATTATAGACACGGCATTCTTCAACATACATAGATAAATACTAACCAACATGACAAAATCTTTATCGATTGAGTTAGAATATGATCTACGGATTTTGCTTCTGATGTGATCAGTTATATCGAATGTTTCCATATTTTGTCTTTAGCATTGATCTCTTTATATGAATTTGATAGAAACTTTGTAATAAATCGATCATTGGAGTAAAGTGATATATTTTTTTTTCGATTTATGGACACTGAAAAAAGTAACAGGGTGTGAGAATATTGATATATGTTACTACATCATTCTCAGATCATAACATTTCTGAGTAATGTTTGATAGTGATGATTACACACACGAGGCCAACAATTATTTCAACAACTGTGCCAATATTTTTATTGGTGACGTTTGAAATCATACAGTTACATTATTTCCCTAATTCATTTCATTGCTACTCATATAACACTACAATATAATGAAGTAGCGTTGATGTTATGATGTATAACACTTGTTGTGTTAGAGCGAGCTTATTTTCGTACAGGAAAAGTAAAAGATATGTTCAATCTACGATTCTATTGTCGTTTTCTTGTGTTTGTTTTGATGAGTTGTGATTGTATAGGAAATAAACATATACCTGACCACATTAGGAGTCAAAATAGATTAGTAGGCAAAGTTTATGGTCACGACACACTCGCCAGTCCACAACACCACGCACATGTTCATATTGACCTGGTATGTTGTTTCATATCCTGTTGACGTCAAATCCAAACACAAAATATCCAAACACTTGGTGTTCCTCATAGGAGTGTAAGAAAGGAAGTTCATTACTATTAGTATAAACAATACATTTGTAGATATGAAGTCACATTTATTAGATATTGACAATCGTTCACGGAAATTGTCTGAGAGAAAAGGTCATGAAAACTTTAAGCCTTTTACTTATTGGTTATCAGTTTATACCACGATGATAAAATAAGTATCGATTATTGATTTTCCCTGATCTCTGTACCTTAATGTTAGTGAGATTAGCATTTACTATAAGAAAAAAACATCTCTAGTTAAGTAACAGGAAATATATTACCATGAAATTGTGTTTACCTGGTTATTAAAAAAAAAAAAACAGAAAAGACCGTGATAAGCCAGATACAAGGATAAACGAGGCATCGACAGCTAGTATTTAGAAGAAATAGAGAATGTAAATATTATGAAAATTATTCAACAAAAGATGTCTCCGACAACGACCTCCGTGACGTACAACAGGAGACAAGCGTGATGTGTGGGCTGCTTTATTATCATATATAGAAAATGTTTACAACATTTCAGAATCAAGGGGAAAGTGCTGCCTTATAAGTTGCGTGTTAAATACTGCTAGGGTGTGATATATCCCGGGAAATTGGGTAGGGTAATAGTAGAGACGGGAAAGTTGTCTGTCACTTACTATTTGATAAAAACACATTCAGGGACTGTGTGTAGAGAGATGACGGTAAGATGTGTGTTATATACTGTGTAAGGATATAACACATTCAGGGACTGTGTGTAGAAAGATGACGGTAAGATGTGTGTTATATACTGTGTAAGGATATAACACATTCAGGGACTGTGTGTAGAAAGATGACGGTAAGATGTGTGTTATATACTGTGTAAGGATATAATACAGTCAGGGACTGTGTGTAGACTGATGACGAGTAAGATGTGTGTTATGTACTGTGTAAGGATATAACACATTCAGGGACTGTGTGTAGAGAGATGACGGTAAGATGTGTGTTATATACTGTGTGTAGAGTGATGACGGGTGAGATGTGTGTTATATACTGTGTTAAGATTTAACACATTCAGGGACTGTGTGTAGAGAGATGACGGTAAGATGTGTGTTATATACTGTGTGTAGAGTGATGACGATATACTGTGTTAAGATTTAACACATTCAGGGACTGTGTGTAGAGAGATGACGGTAAGATGTGTGTTATATACTGTGTTAAGATATAACACATTCAGGGACAGTGTGTAGAGTGATGACGGGTAAGATGTGTGTTATATACTGAGTAATGATATAACACATTCAGGGACTGTGTGTAGAGAGATGACGGGTAAGATGTGTGTTATATACTGAGTAATGATATAACACATTCAGGGACTGTGTGTAGAGAGATGACGGTAAGATGTGTGTTATATAGTGTGTACGAATGTAACACATTCATGGACTGTGTGTAGAGAGATGACGTGTAAGATGTGTGTT